GCTAATTTGCCTATTCTGGAGGCTATTTGTTAGGTGACAGTCTGCCTAGCAGTATACTAATATTATCAGGATAAACGAGGTGTTAACATTCTGAATGGGACTAAAATTTGGTCCCTGTGACTTGTCCCACAAACTCAAACTTGTTTGAACTGAAGGGACAATTTCTTGTGACTTGTACCTCAAACTCTTTGTGTGAAATGTTCATGGGACAAGGTACAGAGACTTGTCCCCAGGACTTGTCTCCTCATTTGTTCCGACCTTTATTATTTGAGCAAAATCAAATTTGTCATGGCTGAAACCTTTTTTTTTGCAGGGAAACTCAGAAAAGGAGAACCATACTTGGTCAGACACTTTGTGACGATGGGTAGAGACACCAAGTGAGTGAAACATACGTGCTACATGAGATTTAAACTGTTAATGGGACTATGTCCAGGGTCCTGCTAAAAAAAAATTCTAACAAAATCTCATAGCACCCAAGAAAACTTACATTTATATTAGTCAATGAGTATAATTTTTCATGTTGTTATCATAAGATATGTAGTTGTGTGTCGGAATGTAGATTCGTTGGTACGTAGGTTACATTATAATGCTAAGAACTGAATATTTAAGGAGAGTCACCACTCTATGGCATCTCTGTTTTTGATCCCTTCATTCTGGAAACATTGTTTTAGTAAAATTTCTGTGTTTGGTTTAGTACATTTGTTACATTAATAACTATCCTAGGGCTGTTGATGTTTGTTGTTATGTTTGTTCTAACAAACTATGTTAGGGGCATTTATGTCTGATCAATAAACGAGATCCCTCTTCTTATACAGCTGGTGTTTTCTTACTTGTACTAAGTTAGAAATTATTTTATTTTCATTTCACTACAGAGTGATTAGATAACAAATAAAGGTATTTTTTAATATTGCATGAACTAATATAAAATTTCTGTATATAAGGTTAAACAATATTCATGAATGTTTATTAGGTTAAATAAAGTTTATGATTTCTTTAAAAAGGTCACGTAAGAAGAGATCTCGGTCCAGATCAGGAAGTCGAGACAGGACCCGGCGCTCTAGAAGTCGTGAAAGATATAAAGAGCGAAAGAGATCTCGGAGCAAGAGCCAGGAAAAGACGAGAGATAAAACAACTCGCAAACCAAGAGAACGAGAACGAGAGCGAGAACGAGATCGAGAACGAGAAAAAAAGCGAAAGAGATCAGAGAGTAGTTCATCTCACAGTGTATCGTCAAGTAAGAGTCGGAGTCGTAGCCCTGGTCAAAAAAAGAAGGATAAAGACACTCAGCGAAAGCGTCGATCTCGTAGCAGAAGCAATGAAAAGAAGACAAAGAAAGAGAGACCTCGCAGTAAGGAAAGAGACAAAGATCGTGACAAAGATAGAAAAAGACGATCAAAAAGCCGCAATCGATCAAGTTCTCCTGGTTCACGATCAAAAAGTAAAAGTCCAGATAAGGAGCAAAAGAAATCCAAAAGCAGGTTAGTGAAAGAGAAACACTACCAGATTAAACCAGTATACAATCCAGGTTAAAGGAGCTACATCACTGCGGTTGAAAAGTTTTGCCTAAATTTTTCAAATTCGTCTTTTGTAATTCATGTTAATCTTCTCCATCCTCAACCAACCTTGTTCCTTTTTGGTTTATTATTACCTCTTTAGTGTTTTTCTATCTTAAGTAGTTAACTATTATTTTCAGGTTTCCCTCACTGAAAAGGTACTTTTGTACATGGCCAGAATAACTCAAAAAACCCTGACTGAGCTTCTATAAGGCAGCAACCTGAATTTACCAGAAAATACTTCAAATACCAGGGAAAATATTTCAGTTTTTATATAGGGTAGTTGTAAATAAATGTAACTAATACCTTTTGAAGTGATAGCATTCTTCTGGTTTGCGAGAGGTTTTCAAGAATGCTAATTTGACAGTGAAGCTGAGTTATTGTCCAAGAATATGACATGTACAATGACTCCAACCAAAATCACAAGCAGTAACCTTAAGACCACTGTTCGTTATGATAAAGACAGACTATCATTATTTTGTTTGGATAACTATAATTGTTCTTGGTCTTCAGGGCTGTCATTTAGGGCGGTAACCTGTAACACTTGTTACGGCTGAGTATGTTTGATGGGTCCTTAATGTTACGGTTGAAATTGTCTTTTGTTGATACAATTCCCCCACAAAGTAACAAGTTTGTTACGAGTGTGTGGAGATCAACTATGCAGCAGGTCACTCAAAATTTAATGACAGCCCAGGACTTATATTCTTAGTGGTTTTACATTGTTGTTTTTTTATATGTTGTGTAAGCCGAGACAAGAGGAAGCGAGATGAAGGTGACAGCTCAGATCGGACCAAGGAAAGCAAGAAATCCAAGGAGGTGCTGAGTTTATTACTCTCACTAGCCTAACTTGTGTTTCTCTATTCACCAGCAAATGTTCAGGACTACAGATTGATGCATAAGAAACCATGGAGCAGTTCTTCAAACATTGCCAACCGGCTGTCCATGTTATTTAACATACAACATAAAGTAAAATTCATTTAACTTTAAAAAATGCCAAATAATTAAATCAGGGCCAAGAAACATCATCTCACTGATGAAATGCATAGAATGTACTTGTTGTGCCAAGTCATTTTGTGCTGCGTGAGCTCTTTAGAGAAATCTTTGTCTGTATATAATGGCAAGGTAGTCTTAAGGTTATTTCGAGTGTTCTGATTGTTTCTTTGTTGGTCAGGATTTTTCAAAAAGCAGAAAAATTCATAATTTAATGCCATATAATAAACTACTTACTAACCTAGCTTGCTCAAGCCATACTGGGGAATATTGGTCCTTGGTCGTTATTGTATGGACCTAGCTGCTTTCAGTCCATACCATCCAGACTTTGTGCCTATATTCCCCAGTACGGCCTCGCATTTGGTTAGTAAGAGGTTAATATTTTTGCTGTACATAAGATTTTTTTTGCATGTCCAAAATTCAGGATTTTGGTCAATGTTTTCTTCACCCTCACTGTTCATTTTCCTTTTTCAGTCAAAGAAAGATGTGACAAGTTCAAGTGTCGATGTAAAGCCTAATGAGGATGACAAGGTATATTGCAAGGATTGACGGCTGTCATTATTGTGGTTCATTTATCGAATCATAAAGTCTACTAATCTTGAAGAGCAGGTGTTTTATTTTGGCCAATGTTTGTTGTCATTTAGGCTAGCAACAGGTGTGAAAAATGCAGCATGTTGCAATTTTAGGGGGTATGTTCACTTGTTTCCAGCCACTTTAATTAATGGACCTGTGTTTGTGTAGCTGATTGATATTACACTTTTTTCTGATTTTGCATGTTACAAAACCTGCTGTGCAAAACAAAGCTGGCTAGTTTAGAAAATGCTGATAAGTAGTATTTTGTTGTAGGATGCGGAACAAAAACGATTGGAAGAAGAGATGCAGAAGAGAAGAGAAAGGTATGATACAACAACAAAATCTTTATTTTCTCAATATAGGTATACACATTATGGCATTTTTAGTTTATTTATTAAATATATTTAGTATGAAATGATAAATTTCTTTGTTACAAATCCAAAATTCTTATCCATGCCACACACACAAAACTTAAATTTAAAATTTAAACCACATATATATTTAGCAACTGAGGTGGCCTCCACTACAAGCTTGGTGGTTTTTTGGAGGTCTCCTTGAGCACTGCCTGTTTGTTGGTTATTGTATATGTTTTTTTATTTATTTTGTGAAGTGAAAAATAAAATAAAAATAATGATGATGAAATTATTTGGAACATGACTCTCATCATCAAGGGAAATTTATAAATCCTGTCGACTGATGTCAATCCACATTTTTTACTCCATTTTTTGCACAACTGTGAAATTTCTTTTGTTTGTAACATATTAGAATAGAGGCATGGAGAGCCCAACGTAAAAAAGAACAGGAAGAGAAACAAAAGAGTGAAGAAACTGTAAGCGAGGACCAGCAAAAGAAGAAGAAGGCCTGGAGTCTGGAGGATGATGATGATGATGACGAGGAAGATGAAGTACAAGGGGTCAAGGAAGAGGTGTTGTTAACAAAAAATAATGTCTAGTTAATAATGGTAATAGGACTGAGTGGAGTCCAATTCGGTCTGTAATCAAATGAGTGATTAACAAAATCGGACGACCACGAAGCGGGAGTCCGATTTGTTAATCATGAGTGTGATTACAGACTGAATTGGACGACACATTGTCCTGTTACCAATTAATCATAACCATTACAATTTCCAACAAAAGTAAAAGTTTCATTTGAATAAGCGCTTTTAATAGTCATTTTTAAATATCATAATTAAAAATATGNTACAGACTGAATTGGACGACACATTGTCCTGTTACCAATTAATCATAACCATTACAATTTCCAACAAAAGTAAAAGTTTCATTTGAATAAGCGCTTTTAATAGTCATTTTTAAATATCATAATTAAAAATATGCCTTGTGAAGAATAGCTTGCAAAATAGCAGTTAAGTTTCTTTCAAAACAGTCACCAGAGACTAAACCTCCAGAGTTTTACAAAGTCAGTCTCTTGAATTGATTACTATAGTGATTGTAATCAATGCTGTGATTGGTGGATTTAGTGGAGAGGACTTAAAATGATTGGTTCATGTAACTGTCCGATTACAGGTGTCCGATTACTGCCAACAGTCCGATTACACTGTCCGATTACAACTTTGAAGATTAATTAGAGCAAAATACAGCAGTTTATGCACCAATCACATTTGAGGAAATTGTAATTGTTATGATTAGATCGTTAATCGTGTGATAAATCATTATGGCCATCTTCTGATGAAACTTGGAGCTTGGATTGTTATTGATCTTTACAAAGTAATTTATTGATATTTTAATCTTTACATACAGCAGGATGCTGAGGATGAGCCAAAACTTAAGAAAGCCATAAATAGTAAGTAAGGGTTGATGTATTTCTATTACAACAGATATCCTCAAAGCTGGGCAAATGTCTATAATTATAGTGATACTGACAACAGTAGCAGTATTTGGAGAAAAACATCAGCATTGTTACCTCAGTCACTTTATGTCTGAAATACCGGGTGCCTCTTATATTTAAAGTATCAGTGATTTATGTGCAAGTTTGTTTTGTGCTGTGGCTTCCTTCAACTGCAACAAAAAAGGCCACGGTATGTGACTGAGAGATTGTTTGGGAAAGTGAGAACTTTTCCTTCCTTTAAAAGATTGATATGTCTGCAGACCACACCATTTCCAGGAAAAAAAACAAAACAAGTAAACAAATGAAAATGGAAAACCTTCAAAAGCAAGATATTGAGAGGGAAAATTGGATAGTGTCTCAATACAGTTGCACCTTGTGTCTTTATGTAACAAGAGATACGCTTTTCTTTTTTCCTGAAACTGTCTTAGGCTTAATGGCAGGGATTATCACTTTTAACACACTATCCTAGCAAGTCACATTCTCATCCCCGAAGATCATACTCCTTTTGGTCAGCGCCAAGAATCGCGACCTCTGGGGCTGGTCCAACACCAGAAGTCGATGTCCGGCCAGAGGTTGCATTTCTCGGTGCTGACCAAAAGGAGCGGGGCCTCTGGGGACGAGAATGGTCAAGCCACTGACTGGGTGTTACTTGGTTTGATTTCTGAACTTCTGTTGCAGATAAAAAGGATAATACAAGTGTTGCTAATGGAAAAGTTAAAGAGGAGCTGGTATGTGTTTAAATTTGTATTTTAATTCATTTATTTCTTTTTTGTCATCAAGAAGTGGGATACAGTTAACCCATACAATTACTGAGAGCTAACCACTGTCAAGTCAGTGATATTTTGGTTAACCTGAGTGCTATTTAGGCTACCCGTAGTGACATTTTGTCATTTTGTGTTTTGTACCTGAGTTTGAAACTAGCATCCTCCTAGGTTTTTTCCCCCATGGTCTTTTTTCCCTTTTGTTGGTTAAACATATGTTACTAGTAACATAAGGAATAATTAACTTGCTCTTTCAAAATTTTCATGTCGAAGATGGATGATTTGAGTAGAAATATTGAGCAGTAGTTGCATTGAGACCTGATGACCACAGTCTTACATGAACACTTTTAAGGAAAGCCTTTTCTATAAGATTGAATTACAAGTCAAGAGTAACATTTGATACTGGCAGCCTGAAACACTCAACTTGCTTATTTGGTGGTCCAGTACACTAACTTCAAAGCCATAGCCAATCATTGAAAATTTAAATTTTACAGTTCTTGAACTCAATGGTCACAGCTAAGTCAAGCATTTTATTTGTAAAACAAGTTAAGTATGAATGGTGCCTGGTGCTCTTTTGTACAGCAGGAAGATGATGATACTGACCCACTGGATGCATTTATGGCTGATGTGAACAAAGAGGTAAAATATCTAAATGAATATGTTAGACTCCACCAATTCTATCTTGGTTATTTTGAATTCCCTATTATTTCTAACTCAGAATCATTTTCCTTGGATTTACCCTTCAGTCATTTACTATCAGCTATTTCAAACTCCTGCTATTTCAAACTATTTTTTGATTCTCCGGAGAGTTTGAAATAAACGGGTGCGACTGTACATTAAAGCTTTTGTTTGATCTACTAGTACTTTTTCATTGAAAATATAAAAAAACCAGATTGGTTACCTTTTATTATCATTCAACAGGTGAAGAAAGTAAATGCGCTGGATCAGAAGAAGAGAGTCGGCAAAGCTGGGAAGGCAACAGTGATACATCATGTCGTCACCAAAACCAAAAAGAGGGTAAGATACAAACTGTAGTTTCATCTGTAGATTTAAAATTAAGAAGTTCCACCTTGAAGAACAGAATAAAGATTACTATCTGAAATTACTAAGCTTTCATGAGGATTGTCACAAACCAGGGTCTAATTCAGTGAACAGAAAGCTTAACGTAGATCGACCACTTTGTTCAGTGTAATAATCAAAGTACTGCTCAGTAGGTCACATGTTGAAAGGCCATGCACGCACTTTAGGTTTCTGTGGTACACAGTTTTAAAAATAGGAACAAGGCTGTGCTCTAGAAGCACGTGGGTGTCACCAGTGACTAACTTTTTACCTTTGGGTGACTGGAAAAACTTACTTCTCTTGAAATCATACAAGCTCAAGTGCTGGGCACCCAGGATTTCATGGTTAGGAACCTTTGGGTTAGTGCATTGAGTCTTCTTATATTTTTTTCAGGATCCAACCAAAGGTGAATTGATGGAAAATGATCAAGATGCAATGGAGGTCAGCACCATAAGAGACTAACATTTATAATGATTAGATGTATTTTTGCATAATCAAAAATTGATTGTTTATGGCTGTTGAATTGACCATTTTCCTCATACTAATGACAGAAAAGTGTTCTCAGTTAATAACTGGACATGCAGGTCAAAAAGAGTGAATTGTGAATAGTTCAGGACAAAAAAAGGGGCAGATTACTTTCAGTAAACCCTTTTGCTTAGACATTTCTGACATGTAAGAGGTCCAAAACCTGAGTCTAAAACTTACAACAGTTATAGGCCAGAAATTACTGGCATTTCAATTAAATATATTTCTTGTAAATGCCTTGCAAAGTTGCAAAAGGGTCAACATTAGAGGCTAATATCACCCAGTTATGCTTCCTTTCAGCAGTACTCAATATTGTGTAAGTTATACTACTTTCAACCCATGCATCACCTTGCTACAAAAGTATTGTTCCCCAGAAACCAAGTGCAGAGAAATTTGACAAGTGTATTTTTTCTTTTTCTGTTAGTATTCGTCAGAGGAAGATGTGGAAGAGGAGACAATCGAGTCAACTTATGCACACTTTAAAACCAAGAAGAAGAAGGTGGAAATTTAGTGTTGCTGTTTTAAGTAATAATTCTCAAACCAATAAGTTACTAAAGAGTGTGATGAACATCTTATTGAAAGAGTTCAAAGAATGTAATGGCTAGGACTAGCAAAAAAACAGTTCTGCTGGATTTCGTATCCATTGTTTTATTGTTCTTTTATTACTGTTTTATTTTATTAGGATCTTCAAGCAGTTGACCATGAGAAAGTGTACTATTCTACATTTAGAAAGGATTTCTATGTTGAAGTCCCAGAACTGGCCAGAATGACCCCAGAAGGTACTTTATAAACCCAGTAAGATGTTATAAATTTTATATGTTATTCCATTAAGATTTGTGAACACAGTCTTCACAGAAAGTGCCTTTCTTGTTTCCAGAGGTTGATGAATTGCGAGGAAAACTGGAGAACATTCGAGTTCGTGGGAAAGATTGTCCAAAACCTGTCAAAACATGGGCCCAGACAGGAGTCAGCTTAAAAATTCTAGATGTTCTCAAAAAGTGAGTTTGTGTTACTTAAACTGTTGTTTTCACTGTGTTTCTTCATGTGTTCTCCTTTCTCTGTTTACCAAAAGAAATAATAATCTTTAAGCTTACGTTAACACTAATTTAGGGTGAAAGGTAGGTAGAAAATTGTGGGTTTCAGAAACTTTTGATCTGGTCTTGAATTTCTGGGAATGATGAGTCACAATGTCTTGTTTTTGCAAGTTTCTTTCTGCCTCTCTTGTTTATGCCTCAGTCTCACATTTTCAAACAAGGGTCATCACCCCTGTACGTTAACAAAAATAATGATAATGTAACATGTAATGGACTGGCATTCCATTCAGAGGGAGAGACAATACTTCAATCACTTCTTGTCACAGAAGCAGGTTAATGATCACTTGTGTGGCCCACTTTTCTGTCTGTGCCAGATTTTATCTTTTCTTTTTATAGGAACTTATCCCAGTTTCTGTGACATGAAATGACTAGGAATATTTCTACTCCCCCCTGGATGGGATGCTAGTCCATCACAGGTTATCCCCCAGCATTAAATTCGCCGGTGCCCATTTATACACCTGGGTGGAGAGAGGCACTGTGAGTGTAAAGTGTCTTGCCAAAGAACACAACACAATGTCCCCGGCCAGGGCTTGAACCCAGACTGCTCAATCTGGAGTCAAACACTCTGACCGTTAGGCCTCTGTATCTCCACAAAGGAACTGTAATTGACAACCATCTTAATGCAAATTGTTGGTTGGTCTTTTCAGTTTAGGGAGTGAAGTACTCACAGCATAGCACATGCTCTAATTTCTCTTATTTACAGGAATGGTTATGAGAAACCCACACCGATTCAAGCCCAGGCGATACCAACCATCATGAGTGGCAGAGATATGATAGGTAAGATTTTAATCTCGATAATAAACGTGTTTTTCAACACGAATTATTTTTTGGGATTTTTTTATTCTGTGGAAAAGATCAAACTGGTTTTAAAAAAAGTATGGCTGAAAAGTTCTGGAATTTTGTGTCCAAACATTTGTACAAAACCTGTTCCAAGAATGAAAATTATTGCCATAAGATTCCAATAACAAGCTCCCTTCCCTTCTGAATATAAGGAAATCAGGAAAGCTTTTTTAACAAAAAGCTACAAGATGGTAATTTTTTGGGAATTTAGAGGGTCCAACATAGGTTTGGCTGGATGTAGGAAAAGAGTGAAAATGTGGGATGACAGAAATTTTAACAGTGGGATGCGGAATAAAAATACTTCAGGAGGAACAAGATTGTTCATTTTGACAGGCGGGATGCAGCATAGGTTTAAAATTGACGGTGGGATGCAGGATGAAAAACAGAAAATTGCAGGTTACAGACGTTACGCTGAGAACTGTGACTCTAACCAAGGGGGATCGAGATACACTGTAAACATTCTGACTGGGGCTGGATTGAGCCAAAATCAGTGGTGAGATGCCGGATTGAACAAGCCTGATGGACCCTCAATTTACAGGTTTAATAATTCTGGAAACAACAGTCTCATTTTGTCCACATCTTGAAGCATTCAAATGTGTCACCTTTTGCAGGAATTGCCAAGACAGGCAGCGGCAAGACATTAGCATTTCTTCTTCCCATGTACCGCCATGTTCTGGATCAGCCTGATCTTGACAGGGAGGATGGACCAATAGGTAACAAAATCATTTCAGTCTTGAGCTCAAAATCTTAATTCTCCTTACTGATTGCTGTACATTTTTTCAATGTTAGTTTTGAGAGTTTGGGGGTACATCAGGACAATATTTCATAGTTTACTGCGTTCTTTAATATTGTTCTTAATATTCTGGGTGAAACACATATTGAAAGAGGTGAGCCACGTAACGGCTAGAACATGACCAGTGGCAGATCCAGACTTTGAGCTAAGGGTAGTTGTTTTGGTTGTTTTACTAGCCCAGCCGGCTTTCTTCAGTCATTTCTTCTTTTTTCACTCAAAATAAGGGGGGGNACAGTGGACTTCCAAAATTTTCTGTCAGGTTGACCTTAAAGCCAACAATTTATAAAGGAGCTTTTTTTTTTTTTGCCCGGGCACCTCCCCTAGATCCGCCACTGATGAAGTTAGAATTAATATAGGGACTTGGAAGCCTCTAATTAATTTTAAGAAGAAAGATCGTGGAGGAATTAAGGGATTTATCTTACATATTGCAGTAATTGAGGAGGCTAGGCCATGCGATTTTAAACAGTTTGAGAGCAGATGAACTGGTCATAAAATTTCAGCACAATAACGGCTTAAAAACTGAAGAAAATATCAACAGAAAGCCAGAGAAGCCAAAAGNCTAGGCCATGCGATTTTAAACAGTTTGAGAGCAGATGAACTGGTCATAAAATTTCAGCACAATAACGGCTTAAAAACTGAAGAAAATATCAACAGAAAGCCAGAGAAGCCAAAAGAGGCAGGGAATGGGCAAATGTGGGGAAGATACGAAGTTAAAAACCGATTGCATTTGGGCAAACGTGATAAACGTTGGGCGAACATATTTCAAGTTGATCTCAACTTGCATGGATGTATGATTTTGTAATGCTCAGAAATCTGATTTTACCCCAACGGGCCTGTTACTCTGCCAGTTTGAAATTTAGAGCTCATTACTATCAAAACTAAACAGAAGTACCTAAATTACCGCAACTTAGCCCCTTTGACTTTTGCTACCTGTTCATTGAACTTGCAGGCATTATAATGACACCAACAAGAGAGCTTGCTCTTCAAATCTACCGCGAATGTAAGAAGTTTTGCAAGCCGCTTAATCTGCGAGTTGTCTGTGTTTATGGTGGCACAGGAATCAGTGAGCAGGTGAGTGGTGATCTTGCATCAGAAAATGTTTCTCAATGTTTCTAAGGCCCCATTAGTGGTGGGCGGGTCTGAGTATCCAATATCCTGTTAGTTTTTGGCGTAAACTACATTCCGTATTCTGTTAATTCCAATTGCAAAAATGAACGATTTTCCAGAATTTTCGGTTGAATGGTTCACTCTTCTGAAATTCAACAATTTCCGTATTTTTCTGGAAACTTTTCCAGGAAATATTTCTGTACCATTTGCCACCGTTTCGAAAATTTCGGAATTGTTGGTTGAATGAAAAGCGCCCAAGGTCCTGAGTACTACATGTAGTTCTGTTTTTCCCGTTTCAACTCTTTTTTTTTCTTACATTTTTCATCCAGATTGCAGAACTAAAGCGTGGAGCAGAAATTATTGTTTGCACTCCTGGTAGAATGATCGACATGCTGACAGCCAATAATGGTAAAAGATGTTACTGTTAGCTCATGTTATTCTTAAGCAGTTAATGTTTTGTTGTGTTACATTTTGTGAAGTGTTCATCATACAACGCACGCTTTGATTTGTTGTGATGCTTTGTAACCACACAGTTGTATAGCCTGATGGAACCAGTTAAGAAGTTTGGGAGAATTCAAAAGTATATAGGTAAACCCTAACCTGCGGCTCAAGTGAATTCTCCTAAACTTTCCGTCAGATTTTGCAAACACATGAACCATTTCGTATTAAAATCCCACTTCTTGTGAATTAAATTTTGTTATGCCTTACGGGGTATTTTATTTGTTGTATGTAGTTATTTTTTCAATGAACTGATTAAAAAATAGTTTTCTTCTTACATATCTCGTTGTTCAAACATGTTTCAGGTCGGGTGACAAATTGTCGCCGTTGTACATATTTAGTCCTGGATGAAGCGGACAGGATGTTTGATATGGGGTTTGAACCTCAGGCAAGTTTAACATCTTCACTGCCAAATTCTTATAGGTTGTTTACCATTTACAGACCCTTTACACGAGGAAACCGGGTGGTTCACAGTTTCGGCAAAAGCAGCCGCGTATAGGGGATAAAAGCAAATGGTACGCACGTTTTCCGTTTGGATTTTCCGGTTGAGAATTTTGGACTACCTTTCAAGACATTCCGTTTATTTTGGAAATTTTCCGTTTGGGAAAACCAATTACATCCCAACCTAAATTTCCGTATTTTTCTGTAAATGGTAAACAACTTCTATCACCTAAATGTGAGATTTTTATCAAGATGCTTTGCTTATTATTTATGATTAGGAGCTTTTCGTTTGCATCTAGGCGGTCTTGTGTGTTTTTTTTCTGCTTCATAATAATAGAAAGTTATTTCCATTGGCCTTGAGGTCAGCGTAGTCTTGTGTATGAAGAACAGTGGAAGGTAAGAACTTAGTTTAACTCAGTTGCAAGCTGCTACAATGTTTATCGCCACAACTTTTTAATGCCGTCTTTTTACCAAGGGCGATTGCTTTCCCTGTTTGGGGAGGGGGGCGGGTGCTTTTCAAATGAAATAACCAAATGAGGAGGCTCTCAGTTGCTATGGATACACTGTCTTTGGCACACTGATAAAGCTTAGAATGAACTTGAGTGGAATCTTGTACAATCAATACCGTTATAAGCAGCACTGAGAAAGTGAAACGTTGTTTTTAACTGAAGTGCGTACAAGACTTTCCTCTTTTTCATCAACGTGTCTCAAGATTTGAAGTGAAAAATCTTGGCCTTCGAAATAACGATCAGACGGTGTTTGGAAGGTTCTGAGTAAATGTGTGGATGGTTGAAGTATTATTGAGAGCCACCTTGTATTTGCTTTAAAGCCGAGAGGCCAATATCTTTTCCTCACAGTTTGTACAGGTGATTGTCACAGTTCATTGACATTATGACACCCTTTTGTTCTCTATTTAGGTGATGAGAATTATCGACTGCATCAGACCGGACAAGCAGACAGTCATGTTCTCAGCTACTTTCCCGCGTCAGATGGAAGCCCTGGCCAGAAAGATCCTCACTAAACCAATTGAGGTGAGGTGTTTTCATCTCACGAGTTCATGAACATAATTAAAAAATACGCTGTTTAAACCAAGTACTGAAGTTCGGTTTTTGTGAAAGTGGGAACCAATCGTGACTAATCGTGACTTACTGAGATTTCCCGCGCTGGGCAGTGCTGGGCGCTTGTCGCATATTTTCCCGCGCTTGGCAAGGGTCGCATGTTTTCCCGCGCTTGGTACCGGTTAAATGCTTTCCCGCGCTCGTGACCGGTTACATGTTTTTCCCCGTTTGTCTTCATTCAGAGATAATGTTTATTTTATTATGCATTGAGCGTTTTTTCATTGGGGTTTTGTTCTGTTGTTCCAGATACAAGTTGGGGGTCGAAGTATTGTTTGCTCAGATGTACAACAAAATGTGGTATGTATTGGAATCTGATAAGTTTTGTTTTCAGTTTTGTTAATTTATTATAAACGCTTACCATTTGTACTGCATAGAGATTTTCGTCCAGTGCAACGTTTTTTCCAACGAGAAAACGGAGCCAAGTGGAAGAAGGTCATACCACTCGGTAGTTTCAGTTTTATTTTTATAACACTGACTGCTCTGAGCCTAGATTGCAACAATCGTGGCACCTTTGGTGAAAATTTCAAAACTTTGTACCGTGAAATTCACTGAACCAGATTTTCCCAAGAAGCTGCAAGAAGGCTGGGTTTGTAAATATTTCGTAGTCACTTACCTTTGTTTTATGTGCATCATTGTTTTGCTTTCTTAGATTGTTATTGAAGAAGATGACAAGTTCTTGAAGCTACTTGAGTTGCTTGGAATTTACCAGGAACAAGGTAAACATTGGGCTTTCAGCTGGAAACGCTGCGGAATCTGTTGTAAAGTTGTACGGTAAAGAAAGTGTAACCAAGATTGGTTTTGCTTCAAGAATTAACTGTAGTGAAACATTTTAATCCAATCTCGCCGATATTCTTAAAAGAAAAGTTCCTGCCGAACTCAAGAAAACGACTGAAATAAGTGTTTCAAGTGCTAAGCTTGATTCAGGTACAGCGCGGTGTGTTTCAGCATGATTATCCTAGGGTAGGCGGCTGGGGCGGTGTTTCAAATACAAATTGTAAGAAGGTGCAAGAAATTTTAATATACTTGTCGTAAAATGTTTCTTTCAGTTATTGACATTACTGAATGAACTACTTACATTTAAATCTGTATGAGGTTTTAGCTTGATTTGTTTTTTGTTGTTGTTCTCTTTTAGGTAGCGCTTTGGTATTCGTCGAAAAGCAAGAAAAAGCTGACATGCTGTTTAAAGATCTCCTGAAAACCTCTTATCCTTGTCTATCTCTCCATGGAGGTAAGATTCGATATTCACACCCTTACATAGTTTTCTTCTCGGGTCCCGTGCACACTACGCCGGAAAAATTTGAAAACGGAGCTTTATTTCTCAGTTCGGTTAGGCCTACCGTCCACACTAATCCGTCACGAAAAAGGAACTTTTCGAAAACGCTCTTCAAACCAGAGGAATTTGAAAACGCCGGCTTTTCGTTTTCGCGTGGACCGAAAACATATTGAAAACGGATATTTTTGAAAACAATGGCGTCACAATAATCGTGTGACTTCTCTGCCTGAGTTTTCCTCAAGCACAAATCCTAAATAACCGATGATTGCTGTATTTTTAAATTCCTCCCGCGTACTGTTGATGGGGCCTCAGTCTTCAGTTTGATCGTCACCCGACACACGTCAGTGATGACCCCAATATCACCCTTGGAGAAGAAAATTAACGTTACGGGCTGTAGAAGTTCTATATAAGCGCCCGTATCCTTTCTTTTACAACGGTGGCCTAATGGTCAGCGCGGTGGACTCCTGATCGAGCGGTCCGGATTTCAACCCTGGCTGAGGTCATTGTGTTGTGTTCTTGGGCATGACACTTAATTCTCACAGTGTCTTCCTCTCCATCGAGTAGTATAAATGGGTACTGGCTAACTGTGACAGAAGCCTGGCAAAATGCTGGGGTGGGGTGAGGGGAAGTTACGTGCAAAAGACGTGTCTGTCGTTCGTAAATTCGCTCGTGTGCCAAAGCTAAAAGTCATCGACAGAGCTTGTGTGCAGAACCCAAAGACTAGAGCCTGCTCGCAGGCTAGTTCGTTAGAGACGTAAGAGCTATGCTTTGTTTGGAATTTTTGGTAAACCTGCTGCTCCACTTTTGTGTGTTGTTTCAGGTATGGACCAGTTTGATCGTGATAGCACAATAGCCGACTTCAAGAATGGAGTGACAAACTTAATGGTAAGATCATAACCAATAATTAGAGCCTGCTTCTCAAGAGACTAAGTGGCCTTGTTCTAGGTTCTCAGCTACAATTGTGGCATCATTGAAATTAAACTAGAAACTGAGAACCTCCCAGGAGTGTCTAGATGAGGAGCCTCTTCAACTTTGACACCATAATTTTTCACGATTCTTTAGATTGCAACTTCAGTTGCCGCGAGAGGTCTGGATGTGAAACAGCTGATCCTAGTGGTGAACTATGACTGTCCAAATCACTATGAAGACTATGTACATAGATGCGGGTGAGTGCTGTAGAGACTTTGAGCATGCGTTACTATCCTTACAGAAACTCGAACGAGAAGCGGAAAAATCGCCACAGAAAGACTAGCTTTTATACTTGAGTATTCATGATGTAGAAAAGAATTACTTGCAAAAGAATCAGGGACCGTTCATTTTTTAAGGGATAGGGGGGGCTGGTGGGATTTGGGGGAGTGTCAGTGGGAAATTGAATGACCCCCCCAGCTTGCCAATTTTTTCGCATGACCCCCTCTCAAGAGGAATTTTTTGGGGGATGACCCCCCCCAACCTGGCCACCTCAAAAAAAGTTACATCTGGTATTTTATAGATTAATACGTGCAAATGCCACTACACGTATCTTGATGTCATATTAACTGTTACATTTCACTTGACAAGTGAATATTTACAAATTTATGAAGAAAGCTGTTTTGCACACATCTCATCTAAATGGACGAAAATTGTACAACGCTATAACAAAACAAAAAGAGGCCTTTGAGAAACTGAATGGTCTGTTAAAAAATTTGAAAGATCATGACTCCACGCTGTTCCAGGCCAATGGCATTACTCTAAAGCATGGCGAGAAATTCCACCACGATTTCAATGTGAAGCACATCGCTAGCGTTGAGGCGAAGCCGTTAAAGGTTTCACGGGAAATAGAAACCCTCGAAGAAAAGAAGAAGACCTTTGAACGGACCTTCAAGGGCCTTCAAGGAAACTATGTATCAAAGAAAAGAAAATTAAAAGAAAACCGCCGGAAATCAAAGAACAGAATCAATCAATCAATCAATCAATAACTTTATTAACGTATTAATTGCACAGAAAACGCAAACGGGTAGACAACAACATTCGTCGCGTGTATCACATCTGCGTTGCAAATCCCCTTGACAAAGAGCTTCCAAATTGTCTTCTTTATCCCCCTTCCCTGACAATCCCTGAAGCGTGCATAAACGTTGAAGCTGTGGCAACAATGCTGTTTAGACGGGATGCAAAATTAATCGCTTACCTACTGCAAGCA